TGACTTCTAAATTACCATGAAGGTCATGGTCAAGGTCACCTTCGAACGTAAAATTTTCCGCTCTTACTATTTCCGGGGTCAAAAGTATACGGTTCCATTTAAAATTTCCAAGTTCACCTCTAAATGACCTTCAAGGACATGGTCAAGCTCATGATCAAGATCATCGTTGGATTGCTCACTCAAAACCCTGCAACTTTTGTCCTAATCATTTTTTTGTATTTTCTGAGATAGAGAGGGGGTTCCAAACTTTTTGAACACCCTGTATGTAAACAGTAAAAATATATAAATAAAAACGCTCAAAGTAACAAAAATAATAATTGTTCTTTGTAGAAAATAAATTTTCTCTAAAATTTTAGAAAAAATAATGGAAAAAGAGGACGGTAATAAAAACCAACCCTTGGTTTGAGGGTTGGATAACATTTTAGAGGTTGTTAATTGCATTCCATATGTTTAAAGGTATTTGTAGTCAAATTGCACGACGAAAAAATGTTTTAAAAAACCACTTAAAAGAACCAACCCTTATTTTAGGGGTTGCTTGGTGGTCTAGTTGTCATTTTTTCGACGAGCTACCCCAGTTTAAAAAAAATGAAGCTTCTACGTCAAGCGGAAGCCGAGATATTGCAAAATTTTCGAGCAGGCACGATTTTGAATCTCACGAGCTGGTTTCCCCACCCCCGCCTCCTTCGCCGACTGAACGAGCTAAGATAATTTACCTCCACATTGAGTTACTATAAATTTTTTATTCATTCATGAATCTTCGTGAAGTTGAATTATAGTTTAGACTTTTGTGCATATATAGCATTAATTTCAGCCCTTAATGTTTATAAACAATGGCGCTGTGATTTTTTTAAGAAAATGGGCTATCTCGGCCCAGAAAGGGCGTAGGGCATATATTTTTAAAACCTTTGTTTTTTTTACCAGCTATCCAGTGATATGACTGTCGTGTTCCTGAGACCAGTAGTTCCGGAGTTACTTCTATTTATTTATAAAAAAAATACCCCTTTCTTGCATTGAAAAAAATTCAACAAAATTGAGAAATATCGATTTTTTTTAACATAGCATAATTTACAGACTTTTAACTATCATTTCCCGGCGTTTAAATTGATTTTTATACACTCAGTGACCTCAATCGTTTAAAAAATGGTGTTTGGGATAAACAAATGCAATTATTCCTAAACTATTGGTCCGATCGGGCCCAATTTGTGTCCACATACAGGGTGTTAGTAAATAAGTGCAACAAATTTCAGGGGGTGCTTCTACATGAGAAAATAATGGCAGTTTGCTTATAAACGTATGTCCGCAAATAATTCGTTTTCCGAGATACGGGGTGTCAAAGTTTTTCTTAAAAACTGACGATTTAATTTATTGTTCTGAAACCGGTCGAGATGGGCAATTGAAATTTGGTGGGTTTTAAGAGGTAGTTATTGCGCATTTTTTGACATGCAATTAAGAATTTTATGTTTATCATTGGCGCCCATACGGGTAATAATCTCAATTTTTTTAAAGAAACAAATGGTACGCCACTGAGATATTACAAATTAAAAATCATTTTTGAATTCCTCGTTCAATTTATGACAAAAAAATCTCTCTTGCCTTTTCTTCGTATGGGGCGCCGTTTTGATGCAAAAAAATAAAACATCTTAACGAGTATTTTTTATTTTTGTAATACATTATCAAGAACTATCTAATACAATAACATTAAACCAGAACAATAACAGAAAATAACACTAATAAAATTTTGAGAAGGCGCAAAGCTACAACAAATGTTCAAAATGACCTCCCTCAGACGTGACACAAGATTCAACTCTTCGCCTCATTGATTGTCGTATTCGCGCAAATATTCCTGGTATATTTTTTATTGTCTCACAGCCGACTATAATTCCTCAGGTCATCAACATTTTCAACGGGAGTGGAATAAACTAATAACTTAAGAAAACCCCAAATGCAAAAATCAAGAGGATTTAAATCCGGCGATCGAGCAGGCCAATGTTCCGTACCTCCCCTACCTATCCAACGATGTGGATATACTGTGTCTAAGTGATTACGTACATTAATGCTAAAATGGGCTGGTGCACCATCATGCATGTACCATAGGTGTTGTCTCAGCTGTAGAGCAATTTCTTCAAGAAGAACAGGTAACTCTTCCTGTAGGAAATTAAGATAAGATTCGCCTGTTAGTCGTTGTGGGAGGAAATATGGACCGATTAAATGATCATCAATTACGCCAAGCCATACATTTACGGAAAACCGATGCTGAAAATAAGCTTCAAAGATTCCATGGCGGTTTTCCTCAGCCCGCCCATAAATGATTGTTATGGAAATTTCGTATACACTGTCGTCCAAAAGTAGCCTCGTCAGTAAACAAAACGGCATTTAAAAAATTAGGAATTTGAGCGATTTGATGATTAATCCATTGGCAAAAAAATAGGCGCGGAAAAAGTCTCTAGGTAGTAGAGCTTGCACACGTTCAATATGAAACGGATACAATTGCTGTTCTTTAAGAATTTTAAATACAGTGAAGTTGCTTACATTCAAAATGTTGGCAATTTTTCGAGTACTTGTTTCAGGTGACTCCGCAATTAACTCGAGAACTGCTTCTTCTAGTTGCACAGTTCGTACTTCTCGAGGGCGCCCACAGTCAACCGTTTGTTTCTTAAATGAACCATTTTCGCGCAAACGTTGATGAAGACGAGCAAATATTGTGTGATGAGGTACCCTACGTCCTGGATACAACTCAGCATACAATCGTCGAGCTTGCCGACCATTTCCATTACTTCGACCATAGACAAAATGCATGTCTGACAATTCCGCATTTGTAAAATTTTCCATTCTTTTCGATAAAAGAAAAATTAATTACTTATTAACACTAATGTTATACCAAACTAAAAGCTTAATAAATTAATAATGAGGAAACGCTAATTTGACATTTCTTAAAAATATTCGTATTTAACAGACAAATGTTGACTAGCCTACTAGGTAATGTATTAAAGAAATAAAAAATACGCGTTAAGATGTTTTATTTTTTTGCATCAAAACGGCGCCCCATACGAAGAAAAGGCAAGAGAGATTTTTTTGTCACAAATTGAACGAGGAATTCAAAAATGATTTTTAATTTGTAATATCTCAGTGGCGTACCATTTTTTTCTTTAAAAAAATTGAGATTATTACCCGTACGCGCGCCAATGATGAACATAAAATTCTTAATTGCGTGTCAAAAAATGCGCAATAACTACCTCTTAAAACCCACCAAATTTCATTTGCACATCTCGACCGGTTTCAGAGCAATAAATTAAATCGTCAGTTTTTAAGAAAAACTTTGACACCCCGTATCTCGGAAAACGAATCATTTGCGGACATACGTTTATAAGCAAACTGCCATTATTTGCTCATGTAGAATAACCCCCTGAAATTTGTCGCACTTATTTACTAACACCCTGTATAAAGGGGTTAATTCGCCTATGACCATTATTGCAAAAGCTATTAACAATTTAAAAAACACTGCAAAAATGCATGTTTTTTGCAATTATCTCGATAAATAATACAACGATTTTAATGCATAAAAATGAAATTGTAGGTTTACTACCTACAACTTTAATTTGAAGACTTTTTCTCTATCTTACCTCTGAAAAATTATATTTGAGAAAAACCTCAGTTTGACTACTTTGACCATTGTTTATTCGGAGTGGGGGCGAAATTGGCTGTACTAATTTATGTATTCATTAATTATCCCTCCCTACAAGTTCCCGTCGTCAGATTGCTGCTATCAATTTTTCCACGTTTTTCCGTAGAATGGCTGGCCTAATTTCCCATTTTAAAGGAAAAAGTCATTCATAAAAATTTTTGCTTATCGTGAAAAGTCATTAGCCATACTCAGACTTTCAAAATAACATACAGGGTGGTTAGTAAATAAAGAAACGTGAATTTGTGCCTAGAGTAAAGTATTAGTTTTATAAAATTTAAAAATGTTACTGAAAGATTGCGAAAATTATTATTATTAATATAATTTTATAAATTAAAAAAAAGCGCATAATTTATTGAATAAAATGATAAAAAACTATTCTATGTATTGTCCTCCTACTGTTACACAGTTTTCAATATTTCTTCAACATTTTTCATAAACTAAGTGAACCGTATCTCCGTTTAGGTCGGTTATTGCTTCTGATATTTTCTCCTATTAAAGGTTTAAATTATCTCGTAAATCATGGGCATAAACTGTTTGCTCCATAACAGGAAATAAAGAGGGGTTAGTTATGTCTGGGGGCGTGCAGGCCATCTTATAGGACTAAACTGTCCTATCAATTTATTGTGGAAATACTGATCTAACCAGTTTCTTACATTAAGTACACTTTGTGCAGGACAACCGTCATGTTGAAAATACAGATTTCTTCTGTCCTGTAGCTCAAAAAAAATTTTTTTAGAGGTCGTTCAAAATTTTTAAAAATTTCCAAAATCGTCAAAAATTATTATTTTTTTAATTTTTTTTCTCGTTATTTTATAATTTTCTAGGTTGAGTAAAATCTCGATTCTGAAAATTTCAAATCGATATTTTAACTTTTAAAGATCACTCATAACTATTTTAACTTTGTCGCCCTAACTTATATTCATGTCAATGAGAGCGAGAGAGACGGAAAGCCCTTTTATCGGCGAGTTGCAAATCTTAAAATTTGCCCTCATAAACATAAGAATATGCATCCGTTCCAGTGAGTATGTAGTTCATTGTATTCAAAGGGCCTCGATCTTGCACCATCTTTGCCGTGCTTCGTCTACATCTGTACGTTTATACAGTTCGCCTTGCTTCTAACCGTTCGTACTTAAATGTAACGAAAAATTTACAAATGAAGCATCCGTTCTGATTCTCTTTGTTTCTATAATATGTGTATCTATCCTCTTTTAATTGGTTATAGGTTGCTTTAGTAAAACCTAATAGATAATCACATTTCTTCAATTGAAGTCCTGTCATTTATTTCATAAAATATAATATATAATATATACAATTTTAGCATTTGGGAGCCCAATGCAGACTTTACTTAGGACAACTATAACCGATGTGATGCCTGATTCCGACAGCATAATTTCGAATAAAATTGGCGCTGTTTTATCAATATGTTTTATGAGTGGAGCTTTAATAAGCGGGTTTTTAAGTGAATACTCCTATGGTGTTAATTTGGTATTTTTACTAATATCTATAAATTTGGCACTAAGTTTTCGTAAGTATGCACACCAGTCTATTTAATATATAAAATAATCAAAAGTTTTTTTGGAAATGGCACCAGCGGCAAACCAAAACAATGCTAGTTAATAAAAAAATATTGACAAATGTAAAATTATACAGCCCCCACAAAAAAGTGGAATATCCGAAAAACAAGACCCTGTTAACTACATGTTTTTGTGGTCGCTGAATCCGAATCCGGTGTCCGTTTTGGGGCCTTGGGTCTTGTCTTTAGGATATTCCACTTTTTTGCGGAGCTGTGTTATCAATGAATATAATATGAATTTTGTTATTTGGAGAGGTTTTTTTTAATGTGCTGTAGTTAATTCTTGATTTTACAAGTGTGGTTTTACTCATAGAATTTTAATGTATGTTTTCGAGGTTCGAGGTTCTATATTATTTTTAAAATAGTCTTTATAAGTCACAGGTCGTCTGCCGTCTGCCATTTTCAACTGAATATAATTAAAAACATAAGTTAAATCATTAACATTTTTAATGTAGATGTAGTTAAAATAATTTTAACTTGAAGCGGCAGTACGATGCTACATAAAAATGCTAAAAAATCGAGAGGGGTACAGCTCGATGATTGGTTGAATTAAGTGTAGCGCACTACAGTCCCAGTTCTGTAAATACCGCATTATGCCATTTTTCATTTAACCACCACTGTTTCAACATACAGAGTAAAACAAAAACTATTTTTGTTAGTAATCATGTTATTTTTTAAGATATTCAGTTGAAATTTTGAATAGACTTTTACCTCATTCATTTTATAAGAACGTTCAAAGGTTTTTAGATTAAGGGTTTGTTTGTACAATTTTTTCATTCATGATGTAGGTACCTAGTTTCTCTGGATGTGTGGTACGCTTTCATACATGCAGACATATTCACCTCACTTTCCAATCTAATCATTCAATACACCACAGTAGATAGGCTATGTTCATTCTGTGACAAAATCCCATGTACTTTCTTATGAAGGTTCAATTTGCAAATTTTTGGTGAATTTTACCCCCTCCACTCCACTATTAGGCCACGCCCCTCAACCAATCAGAGCGCGGCAAATTGGCGGTAAATTTAAAATCCAGTCACGATAGGGAAGTCAATGAACTCCAAACAGCAGTTGGCGGTAAATTTAAAATTCAAATACAGTAAGGGAGGTCAATGAACTGCAATTGGCGGTAAATTTAAAGTTGGTCACGAATTTTATTTAAATTAAAAAAGTCTTGCACTCTCTGAGATTCGAACCCCGAACCTTTGGATTTCAAAGCGAGTTCGTTACCTCTAGACCAGAAGAACAGGAACGCTATGGTTGATATATTGATGCTAAAAATGTTTCAGCTATTAGTGTGAAATTTCATAATCTTAAGATGAGAAATTCAAACACAGCTCCGTTCAGGTCTCTTGAACGAAAAAACATGCGCATTAGCACCTTATATTTCGCTAACGGTTTGAAATAAATAGCTGTGTCACTGACGCCAGCTAACGTAAAAGCATCAGCCACGTATACAAAATATAGGCGACAGACATGCGTATATTTGTACATATCTACCGGATGTTTTTTTTTAAATAACACATCTCTTGTAACTTATATACGAGTTGTCTGATTGAGAGAAAACGGGATAATTGAATTGTTGTTAGATTGTTACTGAATGGTAAATTCGACTCTTATATATTTATATAAAAATACACTATAAATATGGAGAAGAAATGCCGTCGGATGGAATATCAGTTATAAAGTAAAAGTGGCTATTATATTTGTTGCGTTTCAAATTATAACAAAATTGGGTTAAGATATTTACGAAACATCAATTTATTTTACAAAAGTTTAACACGAAAACGAAGCATCTGCGGACCAACTTTTTGTCTTAAAATCACTGTTTGTCATTAACACCCTGTATGACATTATTTATTTAATTACTAGAGGAATTCTATGCTATGCAAATTGTGTTGAAAAAGCAAAAGTTCACTCTAGGTCTGGCAGAGAACGTATTAAGGAACAAAGAGAACGTATTAAGGAACAAACCAACAGATATAAAAACCTTTTAAAATCTCAGAGTTGTCATGTGGTTGCTTCGCTGTCACTTTTTTAATAACATCCTGTAGACTGCTGCTGCTGCTTTTGACGTGGACTGAAGAATGTAGGTACCTAGAGGAGAGGCACGGAATGAGAAAGAAAATCTCAGTATGTGTACACCGTTTATTAAGACAGCTTCTTAAAGTTGTTAAAAATTCAGATTCAATAGGTAGGTACTAGTTTAAAATTAGAACGAGAGAGAAAGAGAGAGATAACAAATGTTATTGTTGATATTGGTACCTTTTATACATGGGTCATCATAAAGCAATTATCTCGACGACAGCCGGGGTTCATGCGCCAGAAATTGAGAGGGTACCTATATGAAACAAATATCAAAGTTACTGTTCTGTTAATAAAAACAACAAATAAATAGGTAACTCACAGGGGGTTAAACGAGTATGGCATATTACTCACAAATTTACACATCTTTGAACAAATGTGCTTGTACGAGTTGTCATGTGGTCGCTTCACCGTTGCCGTGTTATATCTTAACTTAGTTATTAAAGTCCAAATAATTTGAATAATTTTTAATTCCGAATTAGATGATATTACTATTATTGTAAAAGGTTCTTAGCTGGTTGTTATACCGTAAGATCATATTAAAGACCCAAGGGCAAATTCTTTTAGTTTTAAATTGTGTTGAAATTCAAAGTTCGGCATAGACCTTGGCTGACTGAAACAACCCTGTCAGCGAAATAATGACTGGTATGTCCGGCCTGATGCCGATATGAACCACACATACGGACTTTTCTGCACTGTCCTGACAAATATAGTCGTGATTCAATTATTTTTCCAATTTTGTAAATCCACTCAATTCCTAAATTTATTATTATTATCATATAATCAACGAGTTTGTCTGTGTGTTTTTGTTTAAGTCCTCATATTAAAGTTTCATTACCCCATATATTTTATAGTGAGTGGTGGTTTTGTGTATGAATTTGGATAAAAAAAGGTAAGTCTTTAAACCATAATAAATGTAAAGTAATTACTTTTACCCATAGAGAGAATATTTGGTTGTTGAATTATTTTATTGAAAATATTAAATGTTTTTTTGTGTAAAGATAGGTATAGGCTTCATAGAAAAACTGATAATATTTCATTTAAAATAAGAGGTTGTACAGTATTTTTGGATGAAAATTGACTGATATATGACCGCTCAAATTTTTGGATTAAAAATGCGGTTGGCATTGGAACTGGCACTTGTACAGGGTGCTCAGAAAACCGGTAAATATAAAAATCTTTCAAGAATAAACTGCCTTTGTTTTTAACAGTACACAAAATATGTTATTAAAGAAAGTTGTTTAGAATTGAAATTTATTATTAAAGTACAGTTTTGACGTAGGACTAAATTTTTTTCTATATTTAATTTTTCATAAAATAATTTTTACTGCTATTTTCATTAAAATTTT